AATTTTTTTTATGTATTTATTTATTTATTCTTTAGATATGCATGTCTGAAGATGTGAAAAAGGTTCGCTGTGCAGTAACTGAGCCAATGCCACAAGAATGTGTGGATAAGATTATGGAGTTTGTACAAGGAAATTTATGCTCCGGAGCCGAAGTTTGATGAAATCGAAATTTAAATTGTCAATATAACTGTTGCCCTCTTTTATGATGAAACATTAAATGTTGGTGAAATAAATATATTCAATTATAAAGTTCTGCATTTTTCAATACAAAATTTGTTTCAATAACACACTTTTAATGTTTAAAACTTCAAAAAAAAAATTAATTAATTTAATGCTTCTGATACGTAGTTGAGTTTCTTACTGAAAAGTTAGAATTCCGATTAAAAAAATTTTCATAACTATATCGTTTCTTTCTAAGGAAAATTTTTTCTAATATAATTGGTTAAAATTAGGGATGGATCAGATTATAAACAGTCATTTATACAACTGAGTAGTTAAATACATTCTTTTCGCTTATTAAAAATAATTTTGTCTCAAAATAAAACACTATTTAATTTAATTCGGATACAAAACCACGAATATGTTGTGTAAAAAAATATATTTAACTTCATCGTTACTTTAAATGGTACAATAAAATTTTATATATCTAAGAATTCAAACAGGCTAAAACTATCACAAGTTAATATATTAGTTATGACAAAAGAATAACTTAAATATAATGCTAAGCAAAACACTTTTAATTTAATTGTACCCTAATCATTTCATCAGCAGTCAAAATATTACACAATGAATATTGCAAAAATTTCAGAAAATTGAGCATCCTTGATTAAATTGACCACAGTGCTGACGTAAAATGGTAAATGGATCATTGGTTATTGTCCAATTGCTGTCGAGCTAACCGTGTGAGGTTTTTCTATTTTCCTCACCATGTAAAGCAAATACAGGTTAGTTCCATTACAAAGTCTTCCACGAAGGCCAATTTTTCACAGTGCTTGATCTGGGAGTTACTTTGTCGTCGCACGCGGTTAGGGGCACTTTTCTATTATGATCTCTCAAGGAGCACAAGAAGGAACAGTTCATAGTAGGGTTGCACCCTTAGTATGATGTATGACGACACCGTATGACGATACCTCTGGGCATGGATTCTAATGAAATTTTAATTTTAACTTTACCATGGAATCATATCTTTGCATACGATCTGTGTATGTTGATAAAATACTACATTATTCATTAGTTTTGATTTTTCATCTGTAATATAAAATGTGCTTGTGATTCTCTCTCTTATAACTCTTTGTTCTAGTGTTCTGAAATTAGGACAGAGGTGTAAAGGATTAATTATAGTTCATGATCCGAACAATTGTTAAAAAATTTCAATTGATCATTTGGTACAGACGTTTAAGAAATTATATTTCCCCATATCAATTAGCCTTTATAAATAAAATTGCAGACGATTTTGTTTATTAAATATTTTAAAGATAACATCGGGATTGTTTGATAGCTTATAGCTTTCATAAATAGCTTTTATTACTTAAAAAAAAATAGTTTATTGCACTTTTTTTAATGTTTAGTTGTTTTTTATTCTTTATGTCACAATTATTAACAAGAACGTGGTAGTATAAGTGAACTACCTCCCCGAATGAGTATTCCTAAGGTAATCTGAAACCACGTATTTATTTATTATTATTTTTTTTTTGGCTGTTTTAAACGTATTACTGTGAAACGAAATTATTTTGAATTAATGCAAATTTAAGTTAAATAAATTAGATACTGAAACGCAAAATTAATGGGGAAATAATTTTTTTCGTTTAGAAGAAAAGAAAAAATTTGTAATACTTTTTTCGACGCCAATGATGCTTATTTAATTTTGATAATGAGTACTAGCTGAAATTAAAAAATAAGCTATTGACTAAAATATAAAAAGAGAAATTCAATTTATTCGTCTAAGAGAAAGGTAAAAAATCGTTGTGTTATTACTGACAATGATGCTTAATTAAATTTGGTGAAGGCAATATTGGTATCATGATTATTGGTGTAGTTTTATTATAGATGCCGTTGAAAGGAGTTTTTCATTGCCCTACGAATTATCCTAAGCATTTAACTAAACCACCTTTTTGTGGTACATTTTGGTGATTGTGAGTTTTCTTCGTTCAATAGCATTTGTATTTGAACCGACCGAACTGTAAGGGTAGTAGTACTGTGTGTGTAGGGGTCAGGAAACTGGCCTTGCATCAGAAAGCTTCTGGGTTCGAATCCCAGGCATGGCATGGATGCTCTTTCAATCTCTATACTATCTATCCTTCCTGTGGGTGCATCGTTGGCCCACCTAATATGGTGCCACTGAAAGAGCTAACAAATCTGCCCCGTAAATGTCTGTATAGACGAAATGTTAACACAGGTGTACATTGGAAATAAATGAAATTATAAAAAATTATTTTAGGTTTTCTTTATCTAATAACACAAAGCTACCGAGAAGGACAAATAATAATAATAAATAAATAAATAAATAAAAATGAAATTATTTTAAATGTATTAATTGTGTTTTTATATGTCTTTTAGTTTTCTACATGATTCTGTAATGTTGTTCTGTATTAAATTAATAATTATTTAATTTTTTTTCAACCCGTATTAAGAACGGGCATCCAGCTAGTAATGTAATAAGATCAAATTTCTCTCATCGGCAATAATATTTCGAACTCATTATTTAGATAGCATATATTATTACATTACTGTTTCAAACTCACGCGAAATTTATTCAGGAGAAAACCTGATCAATAACTTCTAAATTTCAGATATAAGATAAGAATTGAACTTATGAGGAAGTCGCCAGAAAGAAGTTTTTATTTGTCACTTCAACACGTGTATCCAACTATTATCCAACTATTATCATTTGCTTATACTCTTAATCTTACTACTTCCTCTTACGCAAAATGAGAAGATAATTTTCTACAGCGCGTGTCTAGAAGGTTACTGATAACGTGTTGTTTCGACGGCGCGTGTTGCTAATAATTTATAGATGTATCAGATACGCTGCAGGAAGTATACACACGGAATCGAACGATTGTTATAAAAAGCATACTTTTGCATGTTTCCTTCTGCTTCGACATGAAGTGTTTCATATTTACCGTTTTATTGATCACAGTGGTAATTCTTGTAACAGTACAAGGTCAAGGTGGTAGTCCTGGTTCTCCTGGAGCACCAGGTATTCCAGGTTGCCCTGCTGGCCCAGGAGGGGCCGGTAGTCCAGGAGGCGCTGGTGGCCCAGGAGGCACTGGTGGTAATGGAGGCACTGGGGGCCAGGGAGGAACTGGTTTTCGTAATTGCCCTGGTGGACCAGGAGGGGCCGGTGGACCAGGAGGTGCAGGTGGTCCAAGAGGAGGTGGTGGTACAGGAGGCGGTGGTGGAGGAGGAGGCCCTGGTTATCCACCTGGAAATCCTGGCTCTCCTGGACCACCAGGTAGTTCAGGTAGCCCTGTTGGTCCAGGAGGCTCCGGAGGTCCAATAGGAGCTGCTGCTCCAGGAGGCACTGGAGGAATGATCATGCTACCCTTGTATCCAGAGTGTGCCACTTATGGTAAATTAATGCACGATATGTTTAAAGGTAAGTTATTTTAAATGAGTGTTAAAACTATTTTTGCACTGTTTATATTGGAACACTTCTAAAGTTTCAGTAAATAAAATAAGAAATAGCTTATTATGTAGCAGCTACTGATTTTTATGTAATATGGTTGGTAGAATGCAAAATACAGATCTCACTGTTAATAATTAGAAGCCACTGTTAATAATTTTTTGTAAAAATGTTTAATTGTTTTCAGAATGTAAAAAAAAAGAATTTTACCTATGTAACGGTTGCATTTAATGTAAAGAATTTTGTAATGTAAAATTAGTTAATTGTTGGCTGAATACAAAACGTAAAATGCATCACGATAGCAAAATGGTTTAGTTGTTTGATCCACCTTAATTTTTATTTTAGCTATTTGGTTCTGACTAATTTTTTAAATATAATTTAATCTTATGTATTAAAATAAAACAATAATAGATTCGATTCTGACATAATATCAGATATTTTTTGAGCATTATTGTATGTTTCCAACTGAATTTTGGCAACTACTCTGGAAATAGTAATGTCAAGGACAGTGGTTCGAGATCACGGAGTAGTTTATTTCTACCCATTCCTGACTCATTCAAGTTAAATGTTATGTACAATGCGCAAAATAAAAACTGGACCACCCTGAATAGCTTTTGATCGAATGAAGGTATTTTCACGTTCAAGGACTCAATGGTTAGAAGGATGACCTAATTAGTGCAGACCATGTTTTGAGTTACGACATCAGCCACGAAATCGTACTTTCTCTAAATAAACATAGTTACTTTTTCTCTCGATGAATGGGTACTTGCAACCCCCAAAATATAGGGATATATGGTTAGTTTTGTCAGGAGAGTGGTCGAAAGTTTGGACCCTTTACTGATAATTGTTCTTTTTTGATTCCGCCATATCTCGAGAACTTTTTAAGAAAATTAAAAACATTTTGCACACAAATATAAAATTAATTTAACTACTGATAAATCCAATTTTGCTTTATTAAATATATAATAAAATAATATATAATATTAAATATATAATAAAAAATTGGATTGTAAATTATGCAATTTTTGACATTATTTTAAAAAATGTATTTTTACACAGCAAATTAGAAAGTTTGAGCCCAATTAGTCAGATAGTTCCTGAAAAATCAAATTCTAAAAATACGACTTTTTCAAAATAAGATTTCTGATAAACTATTTGACCGATTTCGCTCAAATTTCGCTTTGTCCTTTAAAATAATTTTATAATCATGTAATAAACTACTAATCTTACAGTTTAATATATTATATTTAAATAAACGAATTTTATAAATTTGTGCAAAAATTTTTCAATTCGCTTAAAATTTTTTCGAGATATTGTGAAATACGCAAAAAGTAAAATTAACATAAAGGGGTCCAAACTTTGGACAGCTCTCCTGGTCAAGCTATTGGGACCCTAATTCTGAGATTACGGTTAGCCCTTACATTTTATAAGTTTGAAATCCGAATTCGTCGAAAAAATGTTACGCTTATTCAGAGAAAGTACGTTTTTGCGTCTAATTTCGTAACTTAAAATATCGTTAATTATTCAGCATATTTGAGGTCACCCCTTTGAACCATTAATATTAAATCCCAGAACGTGAAGATTCGATCATTAGATCAAAAGTTAATCAGGGTGTAAAACATATGTTTATACATTTCATGACCTGTTACATTAGGCTTCCTAATTCTCCCTGCACTGGGTAAACAACTGTAGTGGATTGAGCATCCTGCTATGATTTTACCTTCCACAATGGTTTTTCACCAGGCATTTATAATGCTTTTTTACCCGCCTAAATAATACTTAAAAAAGTTTAGCTACGTATTCGACAGCTTTTTATGCTCGGTATCTTTATACTCTTTGTAGTGACTTATAGAACATCAACACTATTTTAGATAATTTATGTTGAAGTCACAAGAAATAAAAAAAAATAAAAAGACAATCAATGATTTATATTCTTTTTTCGAAAAAAATAGTATTCTTAGTAAATAATCAGCTGTTTTGCATTAAATAATTTTAAGCAGTAGAATGTTTTTAATTTCTTAACAAGGTTTAATTCTTAGGTAGCAGACAATAATTCATTTTTAAAAAAACTTGACAATAATTTAAAAAAGAACTTTACTTTAAGGAAAACCTAAATTAAAGTACTAAAAAAAATGATTAGTATATTGATGAGGAAATAATAAACGTAGTAGGGTAAAGAATAAGATTTTTAAAAATGTAAAAATTTAGTTAAATAGTTGGTAAAATAGTTCTGCGAAACATTTCCGGACAGGTGATTAAAAAATTACTTTTTAGACGATATATTAGATGTTGAGAAATTTGCGATGATATGAAATATGCTTAAATATGTCTATTACGTATATCTATTAATGTTTATAAAAAATATGTTCACGAAATTGATAAATATTTTATTCTAAATCTATTCATACCTATGTATGTTATTGAAATTGTATCAGTTATTGAGAAAAAAAAATTAAAAATTTTAAAATAATCTCATTAAATAAGCACAATCTCGTGTATAATCATATTCTATCAGAAGCATGCTTTGATAAAATTCGACATTCGTTGAATAAAATGTTTTTTATTCAATAAAATGCTATATTCAAATTTCTTTACTAAATTGCGAATAGATTTTTAGACGACTAAAACAGAAACATCGTATTTTACAGTTTAAAAAAAAATAAAATTAAAAAGATTAGCAAACGATTACTAGCGAAAAAAATATGAATGAAATTTTACGCTACGTGCGCTAAGTCAAGTTCCTCGTAAGTTTATCACATTTTAATATTAATCGCCCCATTTAATTATTTCTTCATTGTCGCCAAATTATTTTAAAACAGTTGAAACTTTAGATTTTTCAATTGAAAAATATGTAGATTAATATGGCATAAAAAAATCCATACCCTTTAATTCAAAATTTTTTCATCCTTACTTTAATTAAATAATAAAAAATAATAAATAATTATTAAAAGTTATTTTTTTCATGAAATTATCTTTGGGGACGTGAGTTTTCTGAGTGGGTGCAATTTTGTTTTTGAATTGCTTCATTAGTTTTTAAAATATGACTGAAAACGCAAAAAGCGAAATTAACATTAAGGGGTCCAAACTTTGAATCGCTCTCCTGACCAAAGTATGGGGACCACACTTTCCAGATTGCGACTGCCCCCTATATTTTGAAGATAAAGAATCCAAATATCTAAAAAAATATATATGTTTATTCAGAGAAAGTACGTTTTTGTGTCTGATTTCGTAACTTAATTAATAGTTAGCACTAATTAATTAGCATATTTGAGGTCACCCCCAGNAAGTGTGCGGATTATTTCTTTTCGCGTATGATTCGTTTGCCGAACGATGATATGGAGGGGAATAATCAATTTTTGGTTGTGTTAGCTGTAATGACGATTCTCTCGATTCTAATTCGATTTTGATAAACTTCATTAATTCATTTACATTAAACTGACCTTTAGATTCTTTTATTTTGTTATATCCCAAACTAACATCAGGAGGTAATAGTTTTAGAATTATGGGACACAAAAGCTGGCCATACGAACCAGATGCGACCTTCAAACTTTCAAGGGAACGAATATTAATTTCAAGTTGATCATATAAATTTCGAAACGCTCTCAAATTAGAAGAGTTTTTCACGGGTTCTAAATTAAGGAGTTTAGTCATGTGACCATTAATTACAAGATCCTCTCGTCCAAATCTATCAGATATTAATTTTATGCATTTGTCATAATTAGAATCTGTCAAACAAAAACCCTTAATAGAATTTAATGCCAAACCACCCAACGAATTTTTTAAGTAATGGAATTTTTCGACATTTGATAATTCGGTATTTTTATGCACTGCATCTTCAAATTGGGCCCAAAATTCAAGCCATAAACAGGGGTCTCCAAAATATTTAGGCAAAGTTAATTTCGGTAAAGAAATCAATTTTTTGTGTTCTATCATGGGAGTTCTATTTAATGAACTTAGAGGTAAATTTTCGTGACTAGAAACCGATTGCGTTTCTTCATTAATTTTATCAATTTTTCGTTTAAATTTACTTTTCCATTTTAAAATTTTCTCCGAATATTCATCAACCGAAATTATTTCCCATTCAATTTCGTCAACGGAAATAAATGCCTCTATCTTCATGTTAAGTTTTACAAGCTCATATTCTTTTTCAATCAATTGATCGTATAAGGTTTTTAGTTCTTCATTTTTATTCTCATCATCTAAATTTTCATCTTTATAACAGGATTCTATTTTATTAAGCAGTTTAGTCGTTAATGCTCTATATGTTGTTCTCTTTTGAATGGTTTTTTTCTTCGAGTTTTCATCAATTTCATCTGTCTCATTATCACTGACCGACATGGTTATTCAAATTCAATTCTAAAGTTCCCAAATTCAAAATTCAATTCTATTCAAGTTTCAAACAAATTCAAAAATCAAAGTCACTTACATGAGTCATCCACATCTGCCCACGTAATGGCGCCACAAATGAAAAAAGGTTTATTCGTCTCGGGGAAAATAATCTTACACAACTTTATTGAGACAAAACACATAGAGAACTAAAACTACATATACATAAAGCAAAAATTAACATTTACTATTCACGTGACTTTATACTGCCATCTATATTTCATTTTGAAAACTACTTTAACATGAACAGATAAGATTATGGAATTTGTACAAGGAAATTCATGTAACGGAACGGAAGTTTGATGAGATCGAAATTTAAATTGTAAATATAACTGTTGCCACATTTTATGATGAAACATGAAATGTCGGAAAAATAAATATATTCAATTATAAAGTTCTGCATTTTTTTATAAAAAATTTGTTTCAATAACACACTTTTAATGTTTAAAACTTCAAAAAGAATTCATTAATTTAATGTTTCTGATAAGTAGCTGAATTTCTTACTGAAAAGTTAGAATTTCGATTTAAAAATTTTTCAGAATTATATCGCTTCTTTCTGAGGAAAGTTTTTTCTAATTGAATTGGTTAAAATTAGGGATGGATCAGATTATAAACGGTCATTTATACAACTGAGTAGTTAAATACATTATTTTCGCTTATTAAAAATAATTTTTTCTTAAAATAAAACGCCTATTTGATTTAATTCGGATACAAAACCACGAATATTTTGTGTAAAAAAATATATTTAACTTCATCGTTACTTTAAATGGTACAATAAAATTTTATATATCTAAAAATTCAAACAGGCTAAAACTATCACAAGTTAATATATTAGTTATGACAAAAGAATAACTTAAATATAATGCTAAGCAAAACACTTTTAATTTAATTGTACCCTAATCATTTCATCAGCAGTCAAAATATTACACAATGAATATTGCAAAAATTTCAGAAAATTGAGCAACCTTGTTTAAATTGACCACAGTGCTGACGTAAAATGGTAAATGGATCATTGGTTATTGTCCAATTGCTGTCGAGCTAACCGTGTGAGGTTTTTGCGATTATTCTCTCCTTGTAGCGCAAAGACAGGTTTACTCCATTACAAAGTTCTCCACGAAGGCCAGTTTTTCACAGTTCTTGATCTGGGAGTTACTTTGTCGTCGCACGTGGTAAGGGACACTTCTCTATTATGACCCGTCTAGGAGCACAAGAAGGAACAGTTCATAGTAGGATTGCACCCTAAGCATTGTATGACGGCAACTCTGGGCATGGATTCTAATGAAATTTTAATTTTAACTTTACCATGGAATCATATCTTTGCATACGATCTGTGTATGTTGATAAAATACTACATTATTCATTAGTTTTGATTTTTCATCTGTAATATAAAATGTGCTTGTGATTCTCTCTCTTATAACTCTTTGTTCTAGTGTTCTGAAATTAGGACAGAGGTGTAAAGGATTAATTATAGTTCATGATCCGAACAATTGTTAAAAAATTTCAATTGATCATTTGGTACAGACGTTTAAAAAATGATATTTCCCCATATCAATTAGCCCTTATAAATGAAATTTCAGACGATTTTGTTTATTAAATATTTTAAAGATAACATCGGGATTGTTTGCTAGCTTATAGCTTTCATAAATAGTTTTTATTATTTAAAAAAAATAGTTTATTGCAATTTTTTAAATGTTTAGTTGTTTTTTATTCTTTATGTCTCAATTATTAACAAGAACGTGGTAGTATAAGTGGACTACCTCCCCGAATGAGTATTCCTAAAGTAATCTGAAACCACGTATTTATTTATTATAATTTTTTTTTTGACTGTTTGAAACGTATTACTGTGAAACGAAATTATTTTGAATTAATGCTAATTTAAATTAAATAAATTAGATACTGAAACGCAAAATTAATGGAGAAATAATTTTTTTTGTTTAGAAGAAAAGAAACAACTTGTAATACTTTTTTCGACGCCAATGATGCTTATTTAATTTTGATAATGAGTACTAGCTGAAATTAAAAAATAAGCTATTGACTAAAATGCAAAATGAGAAATTTAATTTATTCGTCTAAGAGAAAGGTAAAAAATCGTTGTGTTATTACTGACAATGATGCTTAATTAAATTTGGTGAAGGCAATATTGGTATCATGATTATTGGTGTAGTTTTATTATAGATACCGTTGAAAGGAGTTTTTCATTGCCCTACGAATTATCCTAAGCATTTAACTAAACCACCTTTTTGTGGTACATTTTGGTGATTGTGAGTCTTCTTCGTTCAATAGCATTTGTATTTGAACCGACCGAACTCTAAGGGTAGTAGTACTGTGTGTGTAGGGGTCAGGAAACTGGCCTTGCATCAGAAAGCTTCTGGGTTCGAATCCCAGGCATGGCATGGATGTTCTTTCATTCTCCATACTATCTGTCCATCCTGTGGGTGCATCGTTGGCCCACCTAATATGGTGCCAATGAAAGAGCTAACAAATCTGCCCCGTAAATGTCTGTATAGACGAAATGTTAACACAGGTGTACATTGGAAATAAATGAAATTATAAAAAATTATTTTAGGTTTTCTTTATCTAATAACACAAAGCTACCGAGAAGGACAAATAATAATAATAAATAAATAAATAAATAAAAATGAAATTATTTTAAATGTATTAATTGTGTTTTTATATGTCTTTTAGTTTTCTACATGATTCTGTAATGTTGTTCTGTATTAAATTAATAATTATTTAATTTTTTTTCAACCCGTATTAAGAACGGGCATCCAGCTAGTAATGTAATAAGATCAAATTTCTCTCATCGGCAATAATATTTCGAACTCATTATTTAGATAGCATATATTATTACATTACTGTTTCAAACTCACGCGAAATTTATTCAGGAGAAAACCTGATCAATAACTTCTAAATTTCAGATATAAGATAAGAATTGAACTTATGAGGAAGTCGCCAGAAAGAAGTTTTTATTTGTCACTTCAACACGTGTATCCAACTATTATCCAACTATTATCATTTGCTTATACTCTTAATCTTACTACTTCCTCTTACGCAAAATGAGAAGATAATTTTCTACAGCGCGTGTCTAGAAGGTTACTGATAACGTGTTGTTTCGACGGCGCGTGTTGCTAATAATTTATAGATGTATCAGATACGCTGCAGGAAGTATACACACGGAATCGAACGATTGTTATAAAAAGCATACTTTTGCATGTTTCCTTCTGCTTCGACATGAAGTGTTTCATATTTACCGTTTTATTGATCACAGTGGTAATTCTTGTAACAGTACAAGGTCAAGGTGGTAGTCCTGGTTCTCCTGGAGCACCAGGTATTCCAGGTTGCCCTGCTGGCCCAGGAGGGGCCGGTAGTCCAGGAGGCGCTGGTGGCCCAGGAGGCACTGGTGGTAATGGAGGCACTGGGGGCCAGGGAGGAACTGGTTTTCGTAATTGCCCTGGTGGACCAGGAGGGGCCGGTGGACCAGGAGGTGCAGGTGGTCCAAGAGGAGGTGGTGGTACAGGAGGCGGAGGTGGAGGAGGAGGCCCTGGTTCTCCACCTGGAAGTCCTGGTACTCCTGGACCACCAGGTAGTCCAGGAGGTGCCGGAGGTCCAATAGGAGCTGCTGCTCCAGGAGGCACTGGTGGAATGATCATGCTACCCTTGTATCCAGAGTGTGCCACTTATGGTAAATTAATGCACGATATGTTTAAAGGTAAGTTATTGTAAATACATGTTAAACTGATTTTTGTACTGTTTAAGATTGGAACACTTTTAAAGTTTCAGTAAATAAAATAAGAAATAGCTTATTATGTAGCAGCTACTGATTTTTATGTAATATGGTTGGTAGAATGCAAAATATAGATCTCATCATTGTGTAGAAGCCACTGTTAATCATGTATTGTAAAAATGATTAATTGTTTTCA